GGGTTAGTCAAATGTGAAGCAAGTATCTTCATCACTGACTATATTATCACACTTTCAGGCAATTTTAATTCCTTCTGTAAATTAAGGGAGATATCTTCAGTCTATTGTGTTGCCTGTCTGGCCACCAAAACTTCTTTTGTGGCCTTTTTTTTCCTTTTCATATTTTATTATGTCAATATTTTATTATCAGATTTATCATATTTACCATCTCTCTGTGTGTAGCTCATATGAATAAATATGTGCAAAAGTGTGTAATAGATATCTAGTACTTTTTTTTGGAGGATAGTAGTCACAAACAGCTGTGTTCAGGGTTTACTCTTGTCTCTGTGCTCAGTGATTACTCCTGAAAGTTCTTTCTGGGCCAGTGACAGGGATTGAACCAGAGTGAAGTGCATACAAGTCCAGTGCCTTTATCTATGTTGTACTCTTTGTCCCTATTTTTTTACACCACAACACTGAAATTCTATGTCAACTAAAGATTAATTCTTTCATCTCTTTCTTTTTTCTCTAATAACAAGACTTTATACTTTTGGCTTTTGTAATTACTTGGTTAACTTCTATACATTATCTGAGTAGAATAATGGAATATTTGTCTTTTCTTTGATTATCAGGAGTATCCATTTGAAGCAGTGATAGGTTTCCTTTTTTTTCCCTTTCCGTTTATGTTTCAGGTGTTGACCCTAAAGTCTCATCTATCAGGCAAGCCATGTGCTGTGCCACAGAGTCACAGTTTTGGCCAGGGATTTCCTTGTTTATAAAAGGTGGATAACATTTGGCCCAGAGTGATAGTACAGCCTGCCAGTACAGCCAGGGTGAGCACTTGCACACGGCCTTGCTAGTCTGATTCCTTGCACACAGCCAGTGGTAGTCTGATTCCCAATACCCCATAAGATCTCCAAGCACCACCAGTATTAATTACTGAGTGCAAATACAGGAGTAATGCCTGAGTACTGCCAGGTGTGGCTCAAAACAAACAAAGAATCTAGAAAATAGTCTTTTATTAAAGGTATATTCACTTCTTTACTTCTTTATTTACTTCTTTATTCATCCATTTGCTTGAATGTATTTCCACTTTCATTTGTTTGTAGATATTACATTGTTAGATTTTTCTATAGAAAACAAAACAAAAAATTTGAATAGAATGGAAAACATAAGATATGATATTTAGGCCTGAATATCTGATCTGAAAAATGATTCTGAACGTAGTTGTGAGAATAATATTTATGATTAAAAGAAGATAATAAAAAATGAAGACATTCAGTGTTCCAAGACATAACAATAGTGATATGAATAAAATATGTATTAAACATTCAATTCTGAATGTGAGCTACTGGGACATGTCAAAAGTGTTTTATTTATGCTCTAGCTCACCTATCTCGAGTCGATTTTCCTAAAAATGCACTTCTCTCTTTCATTCTCTCCTTCTGTAAAAAGATTTAAAAAAAATCTCATGATGATACAGACAAGATTGCAGTGAGTTATGAGTCTGCTCTCTTCCACCCAGTCTATATAACCCTTTCTCCACCTGTCAAGGTCCGTGATTGTTTGGTGCTGAATCTTCATTGTTATAAAATTGCCTACTCTCACACCTGAAACATTTTGCATAGTTATGAAAGAGGAAAATATTATTATGGGAAAAAGGTAAAGGCTTACAAAACTTACTTTTTAATTTTATGCAATAGTAGAATGAAGTTAATTCTATAATAGTAGAATTAAGAAACACTTAATATTTATATCTATATAATTTCCTCCAAACATGAATAGAGTAATGGAATATATAAAGTATATATTATTCCATTATTCCAGGACCATCCTGGATTTTTTTGTTGCTGTTGTTGTAGGTTTTGTGCCTACAACAATGCGCAGGGCTTGTCTCTGGTACTGAACTCAGAAATCACTCCTGGGAGGGCTCCAGAGACCATATGGGGTGCAGGAGATTCAACCTGGTTCAGCTGTGTGCAAGGCAAGCACCGTCGACTCTGTACTATCACTCTGGTCACAAAACAAACAAGACAACAACAACAACAAAAACCTTCATTCCAATTAAAACAAAATTAAAGTCTTTTTTTTTTTTAAGGAAGGGGAGAGCTGGAGCAATAGCACAGAGGGTAGTGCATTTGCCTTGCACAAGGCCGACCTGGGTTCGATTCCTCCACCCCTCTCAGACAGCCTGGCAAGCTACCAAGAGTATCCTGCCCGCACAGCACAGCCTGCTGAGGTTCACTTGACATATTCGATTTGTCAAAAACAGTAACAAGTCTCACAATGGAGATGTTACTGGCGCCCACTCGAGCAAATTGATGAACAGCAGGAGGACAGTGCTACAGTGCTAAGGAAGGGGAACCTGGAGGAACAGTATAACTGATCAGGTGATTGTCTTGCACATAGCCAACACTGATTCAGTTCTGGTCAATGTGATCCCTGATCTGACCATCAATGATCCCTGAGCACAGCAAGGTAGGAACTCCCCACCTCGCAAAAAAAGAGAAACAAAATAAGAAGAACATTTTTTAATGTGTTCAAATCAAATTAGGTTTTCCTAAATTTTGTATTACTGACTGGATTAGCTCCCCCACCCCCACCCAACACTGTGAAACTTTGAAAACTCTTATGCCTTCTCATAAAAAGAAAAAAAAAATGTTGCTATGTTCATGTAAAATTGAATAATCTCCATATTATCTATCAATTAAAGGATGAAAATAAAGTAAATACAAAATATACAGATTAAAAATATTACTGCAAGATGTATAAAGAGAGATAAAATCCTAGAAAATTAAGATTTTTGTTAAGAAATGGATGTGGTTGTTTCCACTTGAATGAGAGCCCACATCCCAAATCTCCTTCTAGAAAGTCTAGATGACAGGTAAACATGGGGGGCCCTGGCAAAAACTTTTTCTTTCTTTCTTCTTTTTAAAGAAATTTGTCTTTTGCACAGTCATGGTCACGGTCCTCCCATTGTTCATCGATTTGCTCGAGAGGGCCCAGTAACGTCTCCATTGGAGACTTTGTTGTTACTGTGTTTGGCATACGAATACATCACGGGTTGCCATTTGCACACACAGCACAAACAAGCGGGGGCGGGCAGCCTGGAAAAACAAGATTAAAAACCAAACCAAACCCTCCCCCCCAAAACCACAAGCACTTGAAGGGTGAACCAGCTCTCTGAGGACTGGGTGGGTAGCTGGAGGCAATGAGAAGAAACTGGATGAGTAGAGGGAAGCGGGGAGAGGATGAGGAGGAGCTAAAAACCCTGAGAGTCGCCCTTAAAACACACACACACACACACACACACACACACACACACACACACACGCGCGCGACCCCTTTGAGGCCCACGTGGCCGCGCTCAACACCAGGCCAGTGTTTCCCCTTTATAGTGAGCCAAAGAGCAGCGTGAGTTGCCACTGCTGGTTCTGTGGCCCAGAGACAGGGAAAACCTTTTCTCTCAGTAAAGTAGTTGCCTGGTCACTGTGAGGGCGGGGTATCTGAAAGACCACACAAGGCAATGAGCTTTGGAGTATAAAGTTTTAATCGGCAAAAATCAAGCAAGCTTTGAGTTCAGAAAGCTGAGAAAGGTGACCGGCCAGGGACATCCTCTCTAGTAGGAGAGAGTCCTTCCTTTATTCTCACACTCTTTTAATTTTTGATTGCAAATTGTCCAATTCTTCGTGGTCTAGCGAACATATTGCTGATCTTTAACTTGATTGGAGGCCTCCAGCTGGTTTGTTTTGGGCAAGTGCTGTGTCCGCCTCCTGTTGGTTTTTCCATCTAGTTTCATCTCTCTACAAGAACAGGCAGACTTGCCACAGGTTTCCACATCCTGCTCTGAGGGTCGGTTTTCTAGCTAATTCTGCAATCTTGAGATATGCCTCAAGGCCACTTCAAGGCTGGACAAATTTTACACTAAGCAAGGTTTGGGTGCAGAATAGTTGTCATTTCAAAATGGTGGTACTTATGCTATGCTGAATAATACCTATTTTCTTTACTAGTATTGGGGAGGGCCTCACAGTCATCAGTCCCAAAGATACCCAGAAACAGGAGAGCAGGATCTCTTCAATTTGCAAGGAGTTCTCTGAGGTATTTGGAGTTGCAGAAAAGATAGTTGGTGATCTTAAAAGGACATTTCATTGACATGGGTTCAACTGAGTAGTTTCCTCATCGAAGAAGACTCCATTCTGTTAGTTATTGAAATAACTTGGAATAAATTCGCTTAATGATGTCACTTAATGAAAATAAATATATGCTCTTGTTTCTTGTTGCTGAGAATATTCTGGAAATAGGAGAACTGCATATGGTTTCCTAGCAACTCCCAGGAGTGACAATCTGAGGCCCACTAAATAAAACAGAGGGGTAGAGAGAGAGAGAGAGAGAGAGAGAGAGAGAGAGAGAGAGACAGAGAGAGAGAGAGAAGCAATATGACTGTTGCATTAATAAAATATAATTGGATTTAAAATACTAAAACAGTACTAGGAAGTTATAATCCAATCAGAAATAAAAATGGGATATAGTTTCACTAAGATACACTTTTTTCCTTGTGTGAATGTCTGCAGCAGTATAGTTAGATGTTTTATTTGAATTATTTCTAATAGAACATTTCCCAAATGTTCTATTCAAATAATATACAATTTCCACTTAAAGAACATTCATTAAATTTTCTACTTAAGGAATATTCAAATATTCTGCTATAAATGTGATCTTCTAATGATAAAAGAATAAAAGAACTCTAAATTGAAATAAAGCATTAAACAAAGTCAAAAGTTCCCACCTCGTAGATAAATGTTATAAGTGAACTTCCTATAGGTTTTTTTAAACAGTATGTTGCAGTGAAATACAAAGTATACAATTTATTAAAATTTCATTTTATTAAAAGCAAATTAAAAGACCAAATTGATACATTACAACACTCATTGTGAGAAGGGAACAATTCTGCCCCATCTTCTTCAAATGTGAACATTAACTCAACCTTTCCCACTGTCTACAACAGCAGCATCGTTCCAAAATTAAGCTAAGGGAGTGTCAAACTTCTCAGCCCTCCCCGCGCCCACGGAGAGAGGGGCGCAGTCCGGCCCCACGCGGAAGTAGGGCTTGAGCTCTTGAGCAAAGGGCTCTGTGAACGAGTGCAGGTGAGACCTGTCGGCGGCATTGTAGAAGGAAAGCTGGCCCAGCTCCCAGTCCAGGTAAAGGCCAATGGCCGCGGGCTGGTCCCTGAGAGCCAGAGGCACGGTCCCGACACCCACGGCCAGGTAGTCGCCGTCCTGCAGCTGCAGCGTCCAGCATCTCTTGGGAGCCGCCAGGGGCCAGGAGGTCTGGGCCGAAGGAGCGACGCTGCACACGCCCACGGCCCACTCGGGTTTGGCGCCCACCTGCACCTCCCAGTAGTGGCGGCCAGAGGTGAAGCCCTCCCGGCCGAGGACCACTAGTGGGGCGTAGTCATCCCAGAGCCTGGGGTCCCCATCCCCTTTGGGCCTCTCCCTCACGCAGGTCACTGACATGAGGTCCTGGGAGACACGCAGGCTGGGGTGGGCCGTGTCGGGGTCCAGGCTGATGCTCTCTCGGAATCTCCAGATGATGCTGCTGAGCGCCGAGCACAAAGGAGGGAGGTTGTAGGCCGCAGGCCTGAAGCGCAGGGGCTGCACGGCCAGGGGCTCCAGGCCCTCCCAGCGCTGCTGCAAGTCCCTCACGCCCCTCAGCACCATTACCTCGGACATCACGCTCAGCTCCACCATCTCCCTGTGGAGACCTTTCAGCACTGAGATACGGTCTGAGTAGGCATCAACATTGGCGCTGAATTGCTGCTGCAGGCGTTTGTCTTCTTTTCCCAGCCTGCAGAGCATGGCCTCATACTCACACTCCACCAACTGGATGAGCTGTTCAAATTCTGAGACTAACTGATCCCTGTGCCTTTGCATCTCCTCTCTCAGCTGCAGAAGGTTTCTGTCTTGGGTGACTTCTAGCTTCTGCATCTCTGCCAACTGCTTCTTCAGAGACTTTATGTGCTCACTGAGTCTCTGTCTGAGATGAGATGCTGCCTCGGCCAAGGATCTCACATGGTGGCCCTCGTGGGCTGGGCCCTGGGCGCACAGAGGACACACCAGCTCCTGATCGTCCTCACAGAAGAGGCTCACCACCTGCCTGTGCTCCTCGCATATGCGCTCCTCTCCCCGTGCCATCTCGCTGCTCCTGGAGACGTGCAGGAGCCTGGCCAGGTCCACCAGTCTGCCCAGCTGGGCGTTGGCACTGACGCGCATCTCCTGGCGGCGCTGCCGGCACACGGGACAAGGGAATCTGTTCTGCATGTCCTTCCATGACATGCGGATGCAGGAGTTACAGAAGTTGTGCCCACAATCCATGGTGACGGGGTCATTGAGGTAGTCCAGGCAGACGGGACAGATGAGTTCTGCCTGCACTATAGCCAGGGCTGCAGACGCCTCCATTCTTAGATGTGGGATGGGTATACTTGGGTGGATTTTCTCTGATAATGGAGTTCTCCAGGCTCTTTCCTGTCAGAAATAAGTCACACACTCAGACCCCAGTCCTACACTGGATGTATCCAGGTATGTGTGAATTTCTACTCACCAGGAGGAACTGTTCACAGATGGATGGAGATGTGAAGAAAAGCCAAGCTCAGCAACTTTGTTGCTGAGAAATCTATCAGGTCTGTAAATGACAGAAATCTGTTGGCAGTCAAAAATCTGTCAGGCCAGTAAAGTACTTTTCTGAGCGTCTTTGAGAAGATGCTCTTGCTCCTCCAAGGCAGTGCTATCACTATCACTCAGTGGGCCTGCCCATACCAATACCAATACTAAGGTATTTCTCCACTGCTGCCCAACAGTTTCCCTACAGGAAAGTCAGTACTGAGGATGGGGGTGGGGGGCTCAGGTGGTAGGATGCAAATATTCCACCTCAGCAACCTACTTTCTGTAGGTGAGAATTAAGAAAGGATTTAGTTTAGAGCAAACAGATAAGAGATAATCTAGGATTTTTCTTTGTTTCCCTTTGGTAAGGCTCAGGAATTATTTCTGGAGGTGCTTGGAGGATCATGCTGAATGCCACTGATAGAACTAGGTTGACAGCATGCAAGGGAAGTGAACTATGCTGTTCTCACTTTATTATTGCTCCTCACATTGGCCCAGATATCAGGTCATCAGACCCTGTTTGCGTATGACAGGCCCTAAGGAAGTCTTGGAAATTATGCTTCACCCCACCCCGCATTAACTGCAAATTCCCTCATTGGTCACTACTCACCCTTTGGCGGTCTTTTTCTGACAGTGTCTTTGGAGAGTCTCCTCTCAAGGTCAGGAGACCAAGTAAGCACTGTGTGCTCTTGGCAGTAACCATTGCCTTATATAGAGCTCAGTAGGTGGAGCTTTGAGACCCACCCCAGAAAGATGCACAGGGAGGGAGCAGGAGTGTTGGTGATTTTCAAAGGAGATTGGATTGTCAGAAGTCACAGTACTTTCCTGACTAAATTGAGGAAGGTGGGTTGGAAAATGGTGTTAATTTGCATCATCTAGTTTTCTCCTCAAATCCTCCTCATGATGCTAAATTTCAAGCTTCTTGAAAGTAAAAAAAAAATGGAATATAGGTTGGACCTGTAAGTTCACTCCCTCCAGGCAAGTGGATGAAAGTTTTTCCTTGGATTTTGCAGTTCTGCAACAAGACCTCGGAAAATTGTTTTTTCTCTTAACATGTAAAAAATATTTCCAAATTTGGGGGCTAATTCATGTACTCTTTTTTTTTTCTTAACTTTTTGGGTCACACCTGGCAATGCACAAGAGTTACTCCTGGCTCTGCACTCGGGAATTACTCCTGGCAGTGTTCAGGGGACCATATGTGATGCTGGGAATCACACCCTTGTTGACCACGTGCAAGGCAAACGCCCTACCCACTGTGCTATCTCACCAGCCCCTCATGTATTCTTAAAAAAAAACAAACACTGTGATTGGAGCAATATTACAGCAGGTAGTGCGTCTGCCTTGCATGTGACCTCAGCATCCCATAGACTCCCTCGAACACCACCAGGAGCAATTCCTGAGTGCAGAGCCAGGGCATTGCTGGTTGTGATCCCAAACAGAAACATAAATAAATAAATAACCCAACCAAACAAAAGAGAAAAAAGAAAAAAAAATCCAAACACTGATTAGTTTTGATGGTTCTGTGATGAGGCCACCATTTTATTTATTTATTTTAATTTTTAATTTTTTAAATTTTATGTTACTTCACAATATTTGATTACATTTACTATTCAAACACCAATCCCGCCACCATTACACCTTCCCACCACCAAATTCGGGATGTTTCCGTCCCAAGTCCCAATCCCTGTCCCAAAACACAAACGAAAGAATATATTTTGTATTGTCTGTTATGAAGAACTGCTGAACATGCTTTCAAAAAAAGTGTTCATATAGAAAACAGTGTGAAGATTGTTCTATTTTGGCAAACCTAATTTTTTTTTCTTTTAAGAATATGCAGTTCTTCCTCGAGGCTTATGGCACTAATTTTTCTCTAAAAATAAACATTTCTACCTCGGCAGCCAGGAGATATGCTAAGGTTAAAGAGCTTGTCTTGGATCCCACTTCTGTGGTTTGAATACCTGGCTCTATTTAATGGCCCTTCACATGCCAGGGAATATTCCTGAGTATAGAGCCATAAATAAGCTTCTGAGCAATGCAGGGTGAGACCAAACACACCTTTCCCCACCAATTAATTCCTGTTTGATAACCAAGTGTGTACACAGCCAACATTGATTAATCTTCACAGTTCTGTAATGGAACCACCATTTATATATTTCGTGCTGAAATTCTTGAACTCATCTTTAGAATGAAATTTGAATTCCCATTCCAAAACTGCAAACTACAATCAGCCCATCCAAGACCAAATCCTGGGTGACATTCTATCAAACTGTTTCTTTATTTTTCTATACCTCTTGCCTACTTTCCTTGCTCTGTTCTTCCTCCTCAGACCTCTTTTAATACTGTAGCACTGTAGCACTGTCCTCCTGTTGTTCATCGATTTGCTCCAGTGGGCACCAGTAACATTCTCATTGTGAGACTAGTTATTGTTTTTGGCATATTGAATATGCCACAGGCTCTGCCTGTGCAGGTAGGATACTCTTGGTAGCTTGACAGGTTCTTCGAGAGTGATAGAGGAATTGAACCTGGGTTGGCCGCGTGCAAGGCAAACAGCCTACCTGTTGTGCTATCCCTCTTTTAATACCATATAGATCAATGCTCCAGTAGCTTAATCAGTTATTGTACTACATAAGTTGGAAGAGTATAAAGCCCTGTTCCAGTGTTTCTGGCAGAAAATTGGAGTTTTTTCCTAATCCCACTGCCATGAATAAACAAAACAGGCAGAATGAAAAAGTCACCAAATAATATTAGCTTCCAGACTTCTTACAATATTACTTTAAATAGTTTCACTGGAGCTGTAAGCTTCACTGTTAGATACCTTTGAGTAGAAGTGTAAAACGAAGCAAAAAAAATCAGTAATTCCAATCACCTATTGTAGGACAGTCAGCCAACGTTGGCAGTTTTCTTTCTCTGATTTTATTAGGCCACATATAGTTCGCTGCTTGGGTAACTCTCTGCTGGGACCAGGCAACACTAAGAATTGATCCTGAAACTCATGCATACAAAGGATGCATTCAATCCCATGAACTGTCTTTGACCTGGAACAATTGCCTCTTTAAATCAATTTCATCACTATTCTTTATTTTATCCTGCATATTTCTGTATTCTACTTGTACTCATCATGGGATTAACTAGACCATCTGGCAGATTTCAATATATATAATGAATTTAAAATTGTCAAACTTATGTACTGTTTTCAGGTGCATGCTGACTTTTCATTCAGGGTCTTGACTTTTCATTCATTGACTTTTCATTCAGGGTCTTGACTGAAGAAGTCTGACCATCTCATAGGTGGGCAGCCAGGCATTCTTTTTGCATCCTGTCGAATCCAGTCGGTAATGCCTCTAGTCCAGTGGTCGTCTCTAAATCACATTATGTGTCCAGCCCATCTGATTTTCGACGCCTTAGCAAACAAAACAGCATCCTGATTCTCAATCATCGATGGAGGTCGTAACTCCAAATTCCTTCTCTCACTTGAGTAAGCGTGATACTCCAAGCGTAGCTCTTTGGAAGACCTAAATAGCGTTCTCATCCTGTTTTTGTAGAGCCCAGGTCTCTGAGGCGTATGTTAGTGCAGGAAGAACGGTGGAGTCAAAAGGATGTGCCCAGAGCCAGAGGTTCTCAGTCCTTAAACAACTTCTTGGATACTCTTGAAGGTGTTCCACACTGCTCTCTTCCTTCTGCACAGTTCTGGTGCCAAGTCATGTTGAGTTCATCATGTTGAGTTCTCAACCCAGGTACACATAACTGCTACATTTGAAAATTTTCCTTCCATTGAGAACAAATGGAACATCAGGAATTAGTTCATTTCTCATGAACATTGTCTTTGTGAGATTCAGCTGCAGTCCGACTTTGTGAGATTCAACTGCAAAATTTTTAGATTTTTCATTTAAAAATGCAAAAATGCAAAAAAAAGCTCACATTTTTAAAAGTTACCCAAATTAAAGAACAGAAGAATTGTACAGCAGGTAAGCTCCTTGTCTTGCACATGGCCAACCCCAGTTCAATTTCCTGCACCACATATGGTTCACTGATAACTCCCGGAGTTATTTCTGAGTAAAGTGCCAGGAGTAAGCCCTGAACATCACTGGGCATGGCCTCAAAGTAAAAAATTAAAGTTAATTAAAATAAAAAATTCCACTCCTTGGAGGTATGCACTGGAGAAACCAGGACACTGGTTTTAGCTATATATGTCTCATTATTCCTATCATTATCACATGGCACCATCTTGTGTCTGTGAAGTCATGGGTTTGTTTCCTGATACCACCCAAAAAATTAATTAAAATTGAAATTAAGCTATCAAGGACACTGATTCAACACATTGTTAACTTGAACAGAACAAATTCTATTACGTTTTGAAATCTGGGATTAAACCACTGAACTAGAGAGTACGCCCTTTGCATCTATATTTTCGGTGTTAAACAATCATTTACAGCAAATATACGATTACCTGAAGGTTGAACGAATTGAGAGTCTGTGTTACTTAACTTAAAATGTAGTGAAGTTTATACTTCTTGGACGATGTAAAAGAAAGTTATTTCTGTATTTCTATGTGTCAATCAGGTCTAAGAAAACTTCACCTTAATCCCTGATATTAGCTATGTCATGTTGGATATTTCCAGAACTTCTGGCTTGATCAGGAGCCAGAAAGACCGTTCATGGGTGGCGACTCAGGATCTCATTGGAACAGGGAGGAAAGGGCCTGCTCCACCCCCATTCCATGACGTCCCGCGTTTCTTGTTAATGAGGGCCCAAACCTACCTGCCCAATGGCCTGTGGAGGATGGCAGCCACTGAGATGCT